AATATATGGTAAATTGATAAATGTAATTCGTCTCTTGGAAAAAAGGTCATACATCGAAAGAAAACTAGCAACTTCAGAGATAATATATGGTAAATTGATAAATGTAATTCGTCTCTTGGAAAAAAGGTCATACATCGAAAGAAAACTAGCAACTTCAGAGATAATATATGGTAAATTGTTAAATGTAATTAGTCTCCTGGAAAAAAAGTCATACATCAAAAAACAAAACTACCAACTTTGGAGATAATATATGGTAAGTTGATAAATGTAATTAGTCTCTTGGAAAAAAAGTCATACATCGAAAAACAAAACTACCAACTTTGGAGATAATATATGGTAAATTGATAAATGTAATTAGTCTCTTGGAAAAAAAGTCATACATCGAAAAACAAAACTACCAACTTTGGAGATAATATATGATAAGTTGATAAATATAATTAGTCTCTTGGAAAAAGAAAAAAGAAGATTAAAATAATGTAAAAAAAAACTCTTTTGTCCTTTTTTTTTGAGCAGAAACTTCATAACATTAGTTAATTTACATATAAAATAGACGTCTACTATACACCACATAGTAACCAATAAAACTTCATAACATTAGTTAATTTACATATAAAATAGACGTCTACTATACACCATATAGTAACCAATAAAACTTCATAACATTAGTTAATTTACATATAAAATAGACGTCTACTATACACCATATAGTAACCAATAAAATCTACAATGATGAATACATTACAACTTCATCAAGTCATTAATTAGAAAATTATCTATATCACAACAGTGTTCTACTTTTTTTTAATTATGTAGACATCAGTTTAGAAAATTCATTTAAACAAATGCATTTATTTTTGAGTTAACAGTCATAATAATTTGCCAACATACTCCCATTTTCAAATAAAGCTGACTTAGTATGGTATGTTCAGGTTATTTACTTTTCGAGAAACCGGTTTATTCTTAACGGAGAAAAATAATTTGTAATTTCACTTAAAAAGAAATCCTAGTTCACTAACAATTCACCTTGATCCTTGCCTCTTGAGCACAGCCTTCCGTCGTTTCAAGCAACTGATTAATTCCTCCTGCTGATGCTGAATATCTCAAAAGGTGCAAAGCTGAGAAACTTCTTGATGAAGCACCAAATACAGTTTCGATACCAATTTCTGTGACTTCCCGAGCTGCTTGAGTATACAAGTGCTGGTGTATGAACGTCTCTGCTGTCATTCCATCAAGAACATGTGCTTCAGGATGAAGGTATGGGTTCTCGACTGGAAAATCTCTGGAAATTTTGTTCAACTAAAAGATAATTAATACCTAGTTAAAAACAAATATTTATATTTTATGGGCAAAAATTGATCAGTTCGAAGTCTACATAGTCAATGTGACAGCTTTGAATCGCTTGTAAAAGTTACTTAATACCTTTACGGTGACAGGGTTTATAATTGTATTGGTGATGATTAGCAGATTCTAAAAAAATTTTAATATCATGAAAAGTAAATGAAGGATGAGAATTTGTTTAAACATACATAAAAGAAAAAATAAACTCTTAAGTAAAAACCAAACATCAACTTTCAACTATAATCTCTTTCTGACAAATCATTTAAATTTTGCTTCAATAAAAGTAATATAATATCATTTCAGAAACCATATACCAGACATAGATCTATTGCACAAAGTTTAATAATAATGCATCTTCTTAAATATGACAATTTAACAAAGAACTACTGAATTAATTAATTGTATAGATCAGAACTAAAAAAGTAACATTTAATGAAGACAATTATAAATAAACTGATCAGACCTATATAATTTCATAAATCAATACACAAGAAGATTAATACCGAGAATAAAAACAACCCTGTTTTCGAACGTTACAAGTTTCGATGCTTAAGAAAATTGTGTACTTCAATTTTTCTGATAATTCTTGAGCAGAAAAGCTTTTGCATCAAGGACTAGATTTAAGAGATCAACATTTAGGTGCTAAAATTAGTCGTACTTTTTCCCTCTGAAACCGGAAGTTTCAAATTTAATGATTCATGGTGAATTAACCAAATTAGGAGGTACAGTTAAAACTTTGTCAATTTCTACACATCGACCAAAATGTTATCATATTAATATAGTTATGAATCAAAGAATGAATACAAGACACATATATTTTTGGTTACATAAATTACAACAGTTGGCAGATACTGATAATATCTAAAACAAACTGTTGGACTCAAATACTTGGTTAGTTGTTAAAATGATCATAGGGCACAGTTACAAGCAATAGAAGCTAAAAGCTTAACTTCAAAATTATGGATTACACGTGTTAGAAATATTAATCCTACAAAGAATTAACACAAAGCAAAGAATATAGTAAGGTTTGTTTTATAGAGTAAAAAAACTAGTTAAGGCTTATAACTTATGATGACAAAACTATGCCATACACAGCTCACTATAGTGCAAAACAAAAACAATATAGTATACACACAGCTCATTACGGTGCATAGAAAAACAATATAGTATACACAGCTCACTATGGTGCAAAACAAAAACAATATAGTATACACAGCTCACTATGGTGCATAGAAAAACAATATAGTATACACAGCTCACTATGGTGCAAAACAAAAACAATATAGTATACACAGCTCACTATGGTGCATAGAAAAAACAATATAGTATACACAGCTCACTATAGTGCAAAACAAAAACAATATAGTATATACAGCTCACTACGGTGCATAGAAAAACAATATAGTATACACAGCTCACTATAGTGCAAAACAAAAACAATATGCCATACACAGTTCACT